AATCTTAGTCGAGTAATGGTGACAAATATTTCGATGGGTGTTGCTAGCTTGGCAGGACATGCTTACAATTCTAGAACACCTGATGCCACTGCGCGATTGAGAAATTGACCGCCTACTTACTACTGCGATCAAATGGGGCAAAATTTTCTATAGCCCATGGAGCTTAGTTTGACTTAATGAAATGATCTAGTTGCTGTTGGTCCCTGAAAGCTATCCATAATCCCCCAAAAACTGCGATAATCAATTTACCATGATTACGACTAAATTGAATTCATTGGACACTTTCGTCATCCATTTGACCAATTGTACCTTAGTCTCGGAAACGGAAATTCGGAATCAGTGTTCACAGATTACAGTTGATATTTGAGCCTTCAAATCTATGTGTGTCCAGAATTATTATTCGCGTTCGAAAGTTCAAATAACGACTCGTCTTTTTCTTGATTCTCCGCAATAAATAGAGAAGACATTATATATAGAAAAATACAGTACAATTTCAATTTCAGGTATATTTGAAGGAATTTTGCGATTTTTGTGCAATTCTAGAAGTTATGGAGATTATTTTCATGTATGAAAGACCCAAATCAACCACCGAAAATGGCCTATAAAGTAAATGGTATAGTCACTTTTTTTTTTGAATAAAATATTTAATGGTTTATTTTCAATCATAATGAAACTCTTAAACATGTCATAATATAGGTAATTTATTGGCGTCGTGTTCGAATTGTTGGTTGATTTTAATGACAATGTATTCGATAATTTGATGGTGGCTCACCGCTCATCGTACATAGTGTGACTGGGTCACGCATTGATTATTTCATATTTACAACGTACATAATCTTTACTGCGATGCAATTTCAGGAGTTGTGACGTCAGAAATTCTTTTTTTCAAAACCACACTGACCACAGCTGTCATAATTTGTTTTCGCACATGTCTATTTAATGATAACTGTTTTTCAAATGTAAACAATTACGTCACACAATGAGGAAAAAACGTTTACCACTTGACAAATGATAAATTAATTCTGATCTCATTTCACGCATGATTTACCCTCACTTAACATACAAAACCTTTTTAATGTTTCATTGATCAGTGTCCAATTATTATTTTTTTCCAGAATTCCATGTAGTCTAAAACACAAGAACGTTAGATTGAAATTTACGAAACATCCCGCCTGTGGTTCCTGTAATTCCAGAAAAATAGGTCCTGATAATGACGTCACCATGGTAAATATTTTTCATGAGAATTTCGAATATTTTTGCGGAATTACAGAAATCACAGAAATGGTAATGAAAACTAAGTATCCCCGATAGGTTATACGATCGACAGAGAAACCTTTTTCAAATCCATTATAAAATGCAAAAATACTACTTCTTCCTTCAATACAGATTTGATTTTACTTCCCACATATTGATAATATCTGATGAACACGTGCACGTCCAGTTATTGAACCCCCTTAGGATTGATTGACCAGCCATAAACAAGTTTTATTAAATCGAACCAATTCACAAGTCAAGCAAATATTTATCTTATAACATTAATTATATGAAGCGTAATGGCTCAGATGACACCTGCGTCGTGGACACATGAATCGTATTTAGACCGAAAATATCATGTTTAATACATAGGCGTTCGAGATAGGCAGAGAGGAGGTGGAGGCTCATTATTAGAGCAAGTTATTGATTATTCCAATTTTTGTTTTTTTGGGGTGGGGTGGGGGGGATTATTTTCAACATTTACAATGCAAAATTAATGTCGTTCTCTTCAACATGATGTGTACACGACGTGGTACATACGACAATGATCGTTCATGAAGGTCTACGTCTGAATGTTATTGCAAGTAGGGCCGTGTAATAGGTACTAATCCCCCCCCCCCCAACCCTATCGTTCCTTCAACCAAAAATACTAA